AATCCCCTTCTGGAGAAGCAATGTAAAACTTAGAATAAATGACTCCTGAAAGATTAGAATTATACAATTACTAGCAATATAACAGCAAACAAAATATGCGTCAACCCTATTCACAGCCTAAGTAAAATATAACAGTACTCTAGTGAAGAAAAAAGCTTTACCATAAAGATAAACATTCTGACTCAAGTACACTTAAGTCACTCCTAGTGGGAAAAATTTCACATATTGGTTAGCAAAGAACAAAAATGGCAGATAATACAGTCAGCATATCAGCTAGAAAGGGAATAGAATTAAAAGAAAGTAAATAAAGGATTCACAGTTTCACTGTTATATCTATTAGTAGATACTATTCATCAGATTAAAATAGAAAGGCTCTGGACACCCAGAGATAACGTGACTGAATATGGTGTGTTTAAATTCTTTAAAAATCTATTACAGTTACCAAAAACAAATTTTTACAGCTAAAGACACACTGCCATTCATTCCCCTCAAAATGCTCTCCCTGCTTCCAGTACTCAGTCCATGGCATATACCATGTTCTGAAGCAGTTCTGCAAGTCCTCTTTCATGAATTCTTTAGTTGTACTGTTGTGGCTGCCTCCATGTCCTGGATAATTTACATTGACCATCTCTGGTCATTTTGAGTTTGGAAAAAAGCCAGAAGTCAGTCACATGGTGTAAGAGCCACTGAATAAGGTAGATGAGAACACACCAAAATATTTTCAAAAGCCTGCCTTTCACTGGCTAGCACTCAGTAGCAGCATTCACCACACTTTTGATCATATTTAGTAAAGACATTCATGAAAGAGGACTTGCACTTATGAGTATGGTCTCTAGTTGCATCCATTTACCTATAAAAGTTTTTCTACAGTGGAATACTACTCAGTCATAAAAAGGATAAACTTGAGACTTCTATAGGTAAAAGGGAGTTTATCCTTCTTTATGGCTGAGTAGTATTCCATTGCATAAAAACTTCTATAGGTAAATGGATGCAACTAGAGATCATACTCGTAAGTGAAATAAATCACTTAATAAATGGATGCAACTAGAGACCACTCGTAAGTGAAATAAATCAGACTCACATGTGTAAACATTGTATTGTCTCCCTGGTGTGAGGAACTGAAAGAGTAAATAAGGTCCAAAATGCACAATACTAGTGTGAAATGAAAAGAAATTGTTCAAAAGGAAAAAGGAACTAGGATGGGGGAAAGAAGAAAAGAAGGAAGGGAAAAGGAAAAAACAAAATGCAAAGTATTTATACTACTAGTTTCTTAGTTCACTGAAAAGAAAGGTATGAGGGCCAGGGATATGCGCCTGCCTGGCAAGCACAAGGTCCTGAGTTCAATTCCTAGTACCAAAAAAAAAAAAAAGACTGAAAAAGAAAGGTCTGTGCTAGTATCTTTTGGAGCATTTTTAAAGCCCACATTGTTCATGCTGATTAATTACTTTAAAGGTAACAACACACAATGTATTAACTATTAAAAAAGGGGGGCACTTCCAGAATGGCTTCAGAAAGCAGCAAGAATCATGGGACAAGGAAGCCTTTTCAAAGCAAGGGGAGTATCTTAAGGGGTTAATGGCAATGTGCCTTTTACTGTAACGATCTTATTTAAAATAGTCATAGTATTTTTTATCACCACACACACACACACACACACACACACACACGTTCACCAACATACAATCTTCAGACCTCCAGGCAGACAGATTGGGAGTGATTTCCCCAATAGTAGACAAATTCTCTTTTCTCCCCGCTGTGCTACAGATTGAATTCAGTGCCCTGTCCATCCATGCTAGACAAGTACTCTATCTCTGAGTTGTATCACCAGCCCCAAGTTATCTTTTCAACAACATGGATTTTACAGCCCAGAGTGATCCTGAAGTCTCTCAAGCACAAGAAATAGTGAAAAAAAACTAAAATATTAAATGCCTCAACTGTCTGTTTCTTGTGCTGTTACTGACTGAACAAATGTTTGATTTGATGACTGTTAGAAAACACTGAAGTGCTTTCATAAATGCATAACCTTTGCGTCATTAACATGCCATGACCAAGTCCTTTCTGCCAAGTACTCTTCAGGTAAAAAGAGCCGAGCATAACAAAGTACTTGCAATCACAGAATCAAACAGACAATAATGTAAATGCAAAATACACGATCTTCGTTTGTAAAGATGGGGTAAAGGGAAAGAAAGACTGTAGGACAGGGTGGTTGGGGAAGGCCTCTCTGAGAGGGACTGACCCAAGTCACATGAGAAGAATACGGTGAGGAAAGTAACTGCATGGATGTGGAGAAGAACCCTACACACACAACAGAGAGCAAACACAAAGGCCCTGAGATGAGAACTACTTTGTCTGTTCAGAGACCACCAAAAATCCAAATGTCTATAGGCAGAAAAAGAGTAGAGAGAAGATCAGAGAGCTACAATCAGGCACCTAATCACACTGGTGCTGGTGGGCCCTGGGTAGGGTATAAGCCTGAGTGCAACTGGGAGCCACTGCAGCTGGGGGAGACTACAAATGCACTTGCACTTATAATAGGTCCGTCTGGCTGGTGGGCCCAGAACTCTCTGCAGAAGGGCAGGAAGGGAAGCAGAGACATAAGCTGGGAGGCTATCCTAGGGCCTAAATAAGAGCTGGCAGTGGTTCAGCCTTGGAAGGAGCAGAGAAAACTAGATGGTCTGACTAGGGAATTTAGTCATAGAAACTGTAAGAATAAAAATTAAATTGATAATATTTTCCCGCTACATTGTTTTTCAGAATTATGGCCGTTGGGGTGAGTGTGGTGGGTATCTACCTGTTGGCGCTCACCTCTACACTCTCCTTCCACAGGCTCCTCCTCTACACCATCAAGGGCTGGGAACTTCTAAAGCGTATTTCCCAGCCCTCCCTCCCCGCAAGTGCTTTAAAGAATATAGGAAAGTCTTATATTCTTATACGAATATATTTCTGTATTTTAAAGATAATATAATTATGAAGAAACTATGTTAATTTCTTATTATGTTAATATAAAATCAATAGGGCTGCGGATTTAGCTCAGCGGCACAGCACCTGCCTGGCAAAGGCAAGGTCGTGAGTTCGATTCCCAGTACCGGAAAAAAAAACAGAAAAAAAAAAAAAGAAATTCTTAGTATATTACATTTTAAGATGTTTAAATCTAAAAGATCATTTAATTTCAAAAGAAATCAAACATACTAAACACTAGCCTCTAAGTTCAGTAAAAGACAAAAAGAAAACTAGTAAGTGGTCAAATTGGTGTAAAATATTAAAGCTAAAACTATACAACTTTTAGAAGACAGGAGTAAATCTTCATGACCTTGGATGTAGAAATGAATTCTCTTAACATGACACTAAAAGCACAAGTAAAAGAAAATATGGAAAAACAGGACTTTACAGTTCATCAAAATGTAAAACTTTTGTGCATCAAAGGACATGACCAAGAAAATGAAACACGAGGGCTGATGGCGTGTACGTAGGGCACACGAGCAGCAATCCCCGGTGGGAGGGGCTGTAAAACTACAGAATGAAAGAAAATACCTGAATATTGTGCATTATAAAAACACAATATTTTGAAGTTATAAAAAACTCTATAAAATACAACAACAATAAAAATTTAAAAGACAAAAAGCTTGAATAGACAACAACAGTAACAATGGTAGAAGATACACAAATGGCCAATGAGCCCGTGGAAATTCTTATACTGCATTTGTCATCAAGGCAATGAAAATCAAAACCACAATGAAATACTTTCTCTCCCACTAAGAAGCTATAATTTTTAAAAAAAGAAAAATACTTTGCAGCTTTTCAGAAAGGTAAATGTACAATTGCTGTATGAACCAGTAATTCCACCTAGGTACACACTTAAAGAGTATTGAAAATAGGCACTGCCAGGCCTGGTGGTGCATGCCTGTAATCCCAGCACTAAGGAGGCTGAGGCAGGAGGATCGTCGCAAGTTCGAGACCAGCTTGGGCTACAAAGTGAGCTCAAGGCCAGCCTGAACTGCATAGCAAGACCCTGTCTCAAAAAGACAGGAAAAAAAAAAAACAGGCACTTATGTAGATACTTGTACCTGTCATTTTTGGTACAGCTAAAATTTGCAGTACAATTAAAATAAATACTGGCATATATAACTTCATCCTTAATATACTGAGCAACAAAAATAATTAAGAATAAATTAACTACAAACCATAAAGTAGTCAATTTATAAAGAATGTAAATACTGATGATACTCATGAAGAGACAGCTGCTAATCGTTCACTGCTTCAAAATTTACTATGACAGCCATATTAGTTGAGTTTTAAAAAAAATATTAAAAGTACATAACTTATAAGCTACGGTATTTTCAGTAAACTTTTGGAAATTTATTAAGGAATTTCATGATGTTCCAAAAGTAACAGATATCCTTCATTGTTGAAAGATAAATGCCCTCAAATTTTAAATGTATTTATAAATTGATATTGGCAACTGATTTGGTAAAAGAGATACATTTATAAGTACCTTAAAAGAAACATCTAAATTTAAAATGACTTTTAATTCTTTATTTTTAAATGCTTAAAAAGTCAACAAATCCAGAATTTAAGAAAACAAGTTTAATGGGTATCTACTACATAGATATTAAGTTCACTATATTACACTGGAAAACAAAATACACATATACACAGAGGTCATTTAAATCCACTCAACCAAAAGGCTGTTGACCAATCAGTCATTAAATTCAATGTAATCCCGGGAGTGGTGGTGCACACCTGTAATCCCAGCACTCAGGAGGCTGAGGCAGGAGGATTGTTTTGAGTTTGAGACCAGCCTGGGCTACAAAGTGAGTTCAAGGCCAGCCTGAACTGCATAGTGAGATCCTGTCTCAAAAAGACAATAAATAAATAAATACATACATAAATACATACATAAATAAATTCAATATAACCATTCCATAAAATATTCCATAAAAAAACTTAAGAACTAAAACACTAACATGATCATAGTATAACACCTACTTACTAACACTTACTGTGTGAAAATTTATCATTTCTTGGAGGCTGTCAGAAAACTTGGTTAAACTTGTCTATGAGAAAAAAACCAAAAGAAAAATCAAGTCATTTAAGAGCCAGTGAAATAGGTCAGAAAAATATTATTTTAGTGTTCTTGACAGAAAGCACAAGTTATACTGTAAGCAATAACATTTACTACCTAGGACAACCCCAGTAGCTCAGGGCATGCTCAGCAGTCAGGACCTCACTCTCCCCACCCAGGCTCTCGGGCAGACACTGCAGCCCCCCAGCAGCGGAGAATTCAGTGAATTGGACAAACACTGAGAAGCAGGGTTAGGAGAGTGAGGCTGCACAATGCAAATCAACTTTTAACGCTACTATCTTAGAAAAGACAATTACAAAAGACAATTATGTAACACATCACCAAGAGGCCACAGCTATTCAACTTCTAAGTACCCCAGAACTACTAAAAAGATAAATGGATATATAATTCTTTAATGTCTTTTGCATTTATCACTTTAACCGTAATTTTAATAATACCAACCTCGACTACGGCATCATTACTAGAATACTGTGCTAGGTCACGGATCCCATTCATGAACTGTTTATTTGCAACACAAAAGGCTTTTCCAGTATCAATCATCACAATACAAAGCTTCACAAGCTGAAAAAGAAAAGAAATGACATCAGGCTGAAAATAATTTTATACATTAGTTGAGCAAATTTTGTCAATAAACACATAATTTAACCTAGTTAAGATAAATTATGCTTCATCAAAAGCAACTAGTTGAATTGAAAATTCTTTTTTCCTTTAGCCTATAAAGTTAATTAATGCATAGAAGAGTTGTATATAAAAAGAAATTGACCTTTTAGGACTTAGAGCTGTCTGATACAACAACAAAAAGTCATTTTATCCAGTCAAATTCATTCCCATAAATTAAATCTGTGAAGATTTATTAAGAAACTTCTAGAAGAAAGAAACAGGTAAGCAAGCAGTATGATAAAAAGATACATGTTTTGTCCTGTTTGAACTGTGGTATGGTAGAGGAAAGATCACTAACTGGAATGACAGGTCAGCAGTGCCAATCATTTTGGTATCATTCTATCAAAGCAGATGTCTGAACTGCTTAATCAACCACTACTGTGAAATTATGTATCCAATCCCAACTGTTCTAAACACTGCACTAAGCCTCAGGACTAAGCACCTCTCCAGCTTTCTTTTTATCTCCTATTTGGGACCAAGAAGCATAAGGGTTAAGTTGCTGACCACAATGTTCTGAAGACAAGGTAACACCACACTTGAGGCAGCTGCAGACATTTGGTTCTCACTCCAACCTAGATTAGACAGTTCTCTTAACTAGGAAAATTCACTACTGGAAAAGTCTTCGTTCTAACTTCTCAAGGTCCTGCTCTGCTTACCTCAGCTTTTTCCTTCACTTTCCCTCATGCCCCTCAAACTTATATGAAATCCAATAGATACTGCCAATCCAGAGAAGTCTTTGTCTTAACTCCGAGAGAATTCTGACCTTCCTGGACTCCCCAAAACCATTACTTGTCTCTTTTATTCAAGCCTTCACCGTACACTCTTTTTAGGAGATCAGGGGCCTGGCCAGGCTCCCAATAATCTCCCCTTCCTTTTGTTCCCTATTTTTCACTCCCTTTATTCCCTTTCTTTTCCTTGCTTCTTTCATTCAGACACAGAACATCCTCTAAAAAAATCTCAAGTGAATGTTAAATATTAAAAACAAAAGTGGAGCTGCTCGGATGATGAAGGGAAATGTACTGAAGAGTGGGGAAAGGAGGAACACCAAAAAGAACATAAAGTGCCAAGAAAAACTTCAGAGAACTCCTAAAGGATTTCAAGAGTATTTAAAACTCTTTGGACACAGCAAAACAGAAGTTAAAAATATAACCTCTGTTCTCAAGGAGTTCTAATTCTAACCAACAGGCAAATTCCACAGAGTACAAACAAGTGCTATAACCAAACCATGCATGAGCAAACGAAGAATACCTGACCCAGACTGTGGGGATCAAGGAAAAGTTTCCTAGAAAACTCAGCACAAGATATTGCTCAGCTTGTAACAGATTTGAGAGAGGTAGACCCACAAGTATCAGGTGTAATTTTAATATATAGCCTAGCCCTCCCTCAAATACTTCAGATCAAACCCCCAAGTTCCCAATATCCCAGGCAAGCACTCTACCAAAGATCTACACATCCAGGCCAAGACCTTCTGATATATTAATGTGTATCAAACAGAAAAGATACAACATGCAGCATTTCCCAAAAATATTTGACCGTGAAATTCTCTTTAGAGGGATAACTCCCGAAGGACCAATGTTCTACAAAACCCAGTATAAGAAATGTTGGCAGGGATGTCTTTAAAATAGTTTGCTTTTGCTGGGCATGGTGGCGCACGCCTGTAATCCCAGCACTCAGGAGGTTGAAACAGGAGGATCGTTGTGAGTTCGAGGCCAGCCTGGGCTACACAGTAAGTTCAAGGCCAGCCTGAACTGCACAGTGAGACTCTGTCTCAAAAAAGACAAAAAATAAATAAATAAATAAATAAAAATAGTTTCCTCTTTACAAAATGAAATAAGATGTCTTATCAGAAAAACTGATTCTAAACTTCATAGGAGTAACCAACATGCAAGAAAACAATTTTCTTTGAGAAAGTAATAAAGTGAGAGTATTAGCCTTACATGATATTAAAATACATTACAGTAACTGAAAACTTGGTAGTGAATGTGAATAGACAAACTAGTAAATGGAACAGAACACAGAGTCAAGAAACAGACATAAATATGCAGTATTTGATTAAAGTAATATTCCAGTCAGTGGTGGAGCGAGAAATTCCCCAATAAGTGACGTTAGGAACATTGGATAGCCACCTGAAGGAGAAAGAAATAAGTTGGGTTACAAATTCCAAAATTAAATTCAGATGAAATAAAGATTTAAACACAAAAAATGAAAGCAGAAAACTATGAAAACAGATAATATTTTAAAAATAATTTCAATGTGGGAAAAGTACTTCTGAAAAAGGCACAAATCTCTAAAGTCATAGGAAAAAATAAACAAACCCAACTACTAAAAATAAAACATTCCTGTAAAAAATGAACTTACTCTAAACACAATATGGAAAAACATATTAGCAACAAATTACGAAGGACTAATTTTCCTACCATAACAAAGGGTACACAAAGCATTCTGAGAACCCAACCATCCACCAGAAGAAATGGGTGACAGACTCACACAGATAATTCCCAGAAAAGGGTATGTAAATGTGTCTTCAACCCATAAAAAAAATTCAGTCTTACTTGCAGTAAAAGAAATGAAAATTACCAATTTGTAACAACAGCTGAGATCGCGAAGTTTGATAACATGCTGTTTTGCAAAGGGCAGGTACAGGTACTCTAATACATTATTGGTGGGAATATAAATTGGTAGCTTTCTGTGGAAGGCAATTTAGCAAGAGCCATCAAAATTTAAAACACATATACCCTCTAGCCTACCAATTTCACTTTTAAAGTGAAATCATACGGATCTATTTACACATAAGCCACATAACACATCTGAAGCTATTCATTGCAGGCACAGTAAAATTCAGTTGCAATCTTTTGGGGAGGGGTAGATTTTGAGACATACTCTAGCTATATAGTCCAGGCTGGCCCTGAACTCCCTATATAGCCCAAGTTGACCTTGAACTTGCAGTCTTTCTGCCTCAGCCTTGCAAATCCAGAGATTATAAGTGTCTCACGAAGCCTGGCTTTGATTACAATCTTGTGTCCACTAGTAAACAACTGGATAAATAATGATATAACCATCTAATGTAATAAATTCAGCCATTAAAAAAAATGAGACAGAGTCAGGGATACAGTTTAGTGGTAGAATACAAGCATGCACAAGTCTCTGGTTAAATCCCTAGCAGCAACAAAGGTGGACTATCTCTGTATTAATAACAAATAACAACATCTAAGATACATTAAGAAAAAAAATCAAAATGTAAAACAGGACTAGTATTTTTGTTAGAGTGGGAAGAGTCATTCACACTGAAAAGTGCAAATACCCATGGCCTTTTATATGCTTGAAACATTTCTGCAAGGACACCCAAGAAAGCCAATCACTGTATTCCCCTAGCGATGAAATTAGAATATGACTAATTTCCATTGGATACATATGTCACCTTTCAATTTTATACCACATAGATAGCATTATTTATTCAATAAATTAAATTAACTCAAAATTAATTAACTTAAAAGTTTCTATAAAAAACAGCGAGACAGGTTACTAGTACAGTCGTTAAACACAGGGCTCCGTTTGCTTAGGTTTCAAGTCCTGCTGCCGCACTTAACCACCTAGTGGGCCTGGTGGTTAAAGCTTCAATTTCTTCTTCTGTGTAGCTAGCTAACAGTGGCACTGAACCGTATCATGTTTATATAAAAGGTAAGATAATGTGCATAACAATATCAACACAGACTGCTGTGGGGACATGGTAATTACTCAATAGAGATTTGTGTTTCCAAGGCAAAGTTGTTGTTGTTGTTTTTTATTGTTACCTGCTTTTATTTTGTTTTAAGAAAAGCAAACCAGCATGTCTATCTACTTAATAAGGTAATGGAGAAAGAAGTCTTAAGCAAATTACAGAGGCGGCAGAGGGTTTGAAATTGCACAGAAAAAGAGATACTTTCATTATGGGAGGAAAAATGAAACACGTAAGAACAGAGTCTAAATTTTGAGATTAGGAACAAGAAATAATATTCCCACCAAGCAGAATGAAGGTCATTCCTCTAAGAATGAAGAAAAAAGTGGTCCACCTTAAGAAAATGGTAAAGCATTGAAGAGTTATTAATGTTAACAAGAAAGACACTTGCTTGGATTTTAGAAAAACTGTTTTATATCATAAATTTCAGGATTATATAGCTCCACCAATTGGTTTCACCAAACATTTGTATAACTTTTCCTGTAAGGGTTTATAATACAGGTATGGGGCAGATCAGACAGACAACAGACAGATGCACAGACGGATAGATGGACAGGTAGACAGACTGAATTATTTAAGACAAAGAAAATTCTGTTAAGCATGGTGATGCATCCCTCTAGTCCCTCCCAGGACTCTGGAGGGTGAGGCAGGAGGATCATTTGAGAAACAAATACTTCTGGGAAACAATGCAAGATCCCATCTCAGGTAAGTAGAATCTGTAAAGTTAGTGTTATGGAAAAGAAATAAAGGTCTCTGATGAAAAAAAAAAAAAAAATATGAAATTAAGAACAGACTGGAAGAGTTAACAGCAGTGTAACTCATAATGGACCCAAAAGAGAAGGTACCCAAATGACCATCAGTGGATGACTGGATGGACAAAGGTGCTCTCGGCACACATCAGCATAACAGTAATTCATCCATAAAAAGAAAGCATGCTAAGTGAAAGAAAACAGTCACAGGTCGAAAAATGTATGATTCCGAATGTCTAGAGTCAGAGAAATAGGCAAATCCATAGAAATCTGTATGTCAAATCCATAAAAACAGGAAGATTAGGTTTGCCAGAGGATGGTGGGAAGGGAAAACTGGAAGTGCTAACAGGTAGAAGGTTTCTTTTTTGGGTAATGGAAATATTTTAGAACTAGTGTTGACTGTTACACAACACTGTGAATGTACTGAAAATCATTTTTAAATGGGGAATTTTATGTAAGGTCAATTGTATCTCAGTAAAAAATTACCCAAAAAGTATACTGAAATGAATTTTAAAATGATCTAAAATATTGCAAGTACACAGATGGAAAGAACGGAGTTCTAGGTTAGCTTTGTGAACAGAAGCAGCAGTGAGGCTGAGAACCTGAAGGACCAGAGGCTCCAGTCAGAAAGCAGGAAATCAGCATTCCAGATTTCAGAGATTACAATTCTGAGTGCACTGGCACAGAATAGAGCTGTAGAAAATGGGTATCAGAAAAAGCACTGAGGTCACAATCCCAGGAGTCAAAGAACTTCCTACGCAGAAGCACACACACTGCAGCTCCAGGAGGAAGGACTGAGTGGTGAGGGCAGAAGGGGAACAGCAGGCACAGAGAGACCGAGACTGTGCCTTAGTAGATGACAGCCACCACCAACAGGAGGCCACAGTAGGAGACCTTTACCTAAGAGTACAAGTCAAGTGAGTTAAATTATCTAGCTAGTGGCCCTAGGCTATCTACTCAACAATTTTTTTACTAAGGGATTACCGTCATTGGCACTTGGCCAGATGATAGGAATACCATGTATTTGCCAGCTATTTCTGAATATGTAATATTTTCTCTAATTCTCATTTTTTCACGTGGAAATTGGGGGTGACACCAACTGCTCAATATTACTGTGAAGATTAAAAGATAGATAAGTAAATGCCAGGTGTGGTGGCACACGCCTATAATCCAAACACTCAGGAGGCTGAAGTAGAAGGATCGCTGCATTAGAGACCAGCCTGGGCTACAAAGTGAGTTCAAGGCCAGCCTGAACTGCCTAGTGAGACCCTGTCTCAAAAAGAAAAAAAAAAAAAATTGGGGGCCCGGGGATATAGCTCAGTGGCATAAGCACTTGCCTGGCAAGCCCGAGGTCATGAGTTCAATTCCCAGTACCAAAAAAAAAAAAAAAAGTACACATGGTGTTTTGTGTCCAGTAAGTACACAATAAATGAGGGTCTTTTGGTGGTGGTTTGTTGCTTTTTTCTTTTAAAAATGATCTCCGCCTCCAAGAAGCCAGAGTTCTAGTGAAGAGATATCATGACCAATGTTTATTTAGAATTTACCATGTGCCAACCATGCTAAGCACTTTACATGCATTACCTCATCTTAATCTCGTAAGAATTCTATGGGATGGATGGATGGATGGATGGATGGTTGGATGGATGGATGGACGGATGGACAGACAGACAGACGGATGAACACACATTTTCCCCATTTGGAGATGATGATGCTGAGGCACAAAAAGACTGCACATCTTGTCCAAAGCCATATAGCTACTAGATGGCAGAGCCACGTTCAAATCCAGACAGCTCCAGGCTTTGTACTCTTAACTATTATGCTATGCTACAAACCAAAAATTACAATAATATTAATAGTTTAAATAGAGCAACATGCAAGAAACTGCAACACACACACACACAACACACACAGCCAGAGTTTGGTAGCACTTGAGCTGAGATTAACACGGTGTCTGCTTAACAGGAAGACGCACGCCAGTGAAAAGATGCAACAGACAAAAAATTATATCCAGATGGCAACTCTGATGCATTATGATGTTGCTGATGCCAGAACACCTTGCAGAATGGGTCAGTAATTGGACTCAATAAACAATAGCACTCATGAAGCATTAATCACTAGAAAGAATGTAACTACTGGTAGCATACATTATAAGCACAGTAAGTGTGAGCTAAGTCATCAAGCAAGTTTAACCTGTCACTGACATGATTTACAATGATACCATAGGCAGAACTTGACTTGCACAAAGTTATGAAATCACTAGTCTTAGAGCAATCCAGCCCTGTCCCCCCATTAGTCTTTCAGTGCCAACACCTTTAATAACAACCATTCCTTGCTCCTCTCAGCCTTTCTTACAAACTCCCCTAGCTCTAAAGTAAAAATGACAGGCAACAGCTTAGGAATTTGAGGGAAGTATATTTTATAAGGGATCGAATCTTAAACCCAAAGAAACATCAAAGCGTGGAACTTCAGGGGCAGAGGGAGAAAAATGGAAGCTATTTAAAATGTTGTCAAGGTTCTACCATGCCCTTCATAGCCCTTTGGGTAAGAGACTCTAAAATGAGCCTAGAGTTCCTTCTTATCATTGAAAGTCAGTATTTTAATAATTTTTTTTTTCTTTTTGATTGCACTGGGGATTGAACCTTGGGCATGTTATGCAAGCACTCAGCCACTGAGCTACATGTCCAGCCTTTTTTTTTTTTTTTTAAGACAGCCTCACACTATTTTGCCTAGGTTGCCAGGCTGGCCTTGAACTCATGATTCTCCTGCCTTTACCTTCCAAGTAACTGGGATTAGCAGATACTACCAAAATATGCTATCGCACCTGGATCAGTAATTTGTTTTAGATTTGAGTTTCTTGGTTGTAAGATTCTACCAGTACACCCTGACCACAACCAAATGATGGGGTAGAAGGGAGAGGAAGAAAGAGGGAGAGGGGGAGGAAGGAAGAGGAGAGGAGGACAGGGGGACAAGAGGAGAGACAGCGGGAAAGAGAGAGAACTGCTCATAAAAGCAAAACCATCAGCAAAAACACTGTCAGATTCTGTTCATGTACTTTAAATTTTGAGTTCTGAAAGCACCACGTAGAGTGTTTCATTTGATTTAGATGCAACTGTACATAATGAGGACAGCTATCTTTCTTTACATCACTCTGGGATTTTCTCAAAAGGCTTGTCCTTCTGCATACTCTGTCATACATTTATAAAATCAAATCTGCATTGTCTGTTGTCTACCTTAAAGGTTTAAAATTTTGTTTCAATAAGTACTTGAAAATAAATATAATACCTCAGGGTAAAAACAAAATAGAATTAAAAAGCCCACACATATCATCATTAAGCAGAAAACAAAGGAAAATATTTGAAAATAATACAGTTACCCAAAATTAAAATATTAATGTTTTAAAACACTCGTCTGGAAGCATGCTACTATTTCTTAGAAAGCTGCCCAGTGGTGTGCACTCCCCAGCACGAGTCCTAAAGGCCCCGGGGTACACACGAAGGGCACTAAACTAATACAGAAGCACAGTGCTTCTAAACTGGCTCTGCAGCCTTTGTTTTCTTGGGCTTTGAAATCTTCATGTATAAGGTGGGAATGACAATACTCCTCCTACCTATTTCATAAAGTTATTAGAAAAATCAAAAAGATACTGTACACAGTACTACACAGCTTTAAAAATTATACAGTACAGCCAGGTATGGTGGCACACACCTGTAACCCCAGCTGAGGCAGAAAGATTACCAAGAGTTCAAGGCCAGCCTGGGCTACACATAGAGTTCAAAGTCAGGCTGAATTACATAGTGAGAACTTGTCTCAGAAAAAAAAAAAATTAAAAACTTAAAAATTATTTTTATATACATAGAGAACACAATACAAACATTTCTAAAATTTTCTAAATTGCTGGTATGTTTTACATATGTAACTAATATTATTGGATGCACAGTTTCTGTTCTATACACACTATATAGTACTGTGATTATTTTGTGATTTCAAAACGTTTGAGAATATCCCTCAGAGCATTCAGTCTAACATACATTATAACCTTGCTACTCAAGCGCCTTCCATAGCCAACACTGGGATTCAGCTGGAATCTGGTTAGAAACACTGAATCTCAGGTGCCCCTGAGTTCTGATCTACAAAATCAGAATCTCTATTTTCACAAAATAAGATCCCCACATGATTCTTATGTACAGTAAGCTTTGAGAAGCACTCCTTTACAAAGCAATACCATTTACAATAATCATTATATAAACAGGAAATTATTTCCAGAAAAAAAGTATTTTAAATATATGCGTGTGACTTAATCTCCAGAAATTTAAAATGGTATTTTACTGAACAACAGCTACCAAAGAATGCCAAAACAAACAGAGTCAAAGTCACTTCTAATTCTATGTAATACTTTTGCCTGGTTCTTAGCAGGCAATGCTTCTTTGGACAGATATCCAAAAATATCAATAATTAATATACAACATAGAAATTATGTACATTTACCATCACATAAAATATGACTATATCAATTACAAAGTTTTTTTTATTTTAGAGACTTAAAAAACTAACAAAACAACAATGAAGACAAATTTATAAGTATTTTTGGTGTTACTTTAAAAATGGAAGGAAGCTGGGCATAGTGGCACACGCCTGTAATCCCAGCACTCGTGAGGCTGACACAGGAGGATAGTTGCGAGTTCGAGACCAGCCTGGGCTATAAAGTGAGCTCAAGGCCAGCCTGAACTGCATAATGAGACCCTGTCTCAAAAGGACATAAATAAATAAATAAATATAAAAATGGAAGGAATATTTTAGATTTCATTTATATTTAAAGCTGGTCACATCTAAATAAACAAGAATGGCCAGGGCATGTATATCTGATACTTATCAGCCTCAAAAAGGACAGACAATCTTTTGGAGGAAGAAGCCCAAAACAACCTTCCAACAATGTAAAAGATGCCAGTTTTGAAGTCAGACATGGATATAAATTCTTATTCTCACACTTTAAGATTAGATTTTTCACCAAGCAAAAACTACTTAATGTCTCTAGCCTTAATTTCCTTTTTTATAAAACTGAGATCACCTACCACCATAAAGACATTAGATAAACTAACTAGTACTGTAGGTATTAATACTTTATGGAAAATAATGTTTTAAAAATTAAAAATTTAAAGTGTACCTTATCAAGTTTTAGTTCCAATTCTGCTACATCTCCTTCTACTTCTTCCAAAGCAGCCCTAAAAAAATCAAACATAAGTTATTTCATTTGTTTAAATGTATACTGTAGTCTTGAAAAGTAACTTTTCACTGTAAGTGAGAAGGTGGATACCTAAGAATAAATTACCAAATGCTTCATAATCATGCACTACAACAGACAATACAAATATTGTTTAGCACAACGGGAGAACACATTATGCTGACTTACTCGAAGAGTTAATACTCAAATAAATTAAGATAATTTAGAACTATTTAGTATATATTTTTAAAAATATAAATAAGAGTTTGTAAGCAAGATGCTGGAAAATACAGAAAAGACACACTCTAATAAATAACCTCAAATCCTACCTCTATTTAAAAAAAGAAATTTTAAAAGATGAGCCTTACAAAAAATCAGATTTCTGGACAACAAAGCATATGCAACCGAACAGCAAAGCATTACTGACAACCCAAAGAGGACTTTATTTTTAGAAATAGTTCAGAAAGATGTTACCTATTTTAATCCATCACTTTGTTTCCACATGAACAAATTTATTAAAAATCAGAATCAAGTACTACTAAATTTTACAATAATCTTTCTCACAAAAATACAATTTCAACACAGAAAAATTAGCAAAGGTTACATTATGCAAACAGCAGAAACTAAATAGTAAACCAGACAGTCTTACTGACCACAAGGGATGATGGAATTGTAATGCTACTTAGCAGCTGATACCACAATACAGGGCAGCATTCAAAAACTGGGAAATGTGTCTCAAGCAAAACAGCAACACCTAAAAACTTTTAAAAATAATAAAGAGTACATATTAAGAGTAATGTACAACAAAATACAACTCATCTACTTCAAGTTATTTATGCCATCTCTTCACTTCTGCAATGGAGACAGAACTCAGAGCCTCATGCACACTGGGCAAGTGCCCCACCACTGAACCACACCCTCAGCTCTAGTGCATTTTAATGTACTCAGCAGTTTTATGATGGCTACTTTAGGAAGTAACCAAAATCTGTTTTCATTGGGTAGTAGCAAGAAAGTAGCCATCCAGACAAGCTAGATGGGATACTCAGTAAAATATTTTCAGGCAACAGAGATAGAGGAAAGACACCTATGATATAAACTTTATTTCTACAACTACCTATTAGCCTCTGGGTGACCTCTGAATAATCACCTTACTGGCTTTCGATTCTACTTCTCTCTCTGGTGACTGATCTATCTATCCATCTGTCTATTTATTGACAGAATCTTGCTATGTAGTTCAGGGTGGCCTTGAACTCACGATGTAGCCAAGCTGGACTCAACTCACAGCAATCCTCCTGCCTCAGCCTCCTGAGGCCTGGAATTATAGGCATGTAACACCTCACCCAGCTCTGGTGACATTTATCTTTTTAAAGTCTGTAAATCTCCAAAGTAAGAAAGTAACTACAAAGTAGTTTATTCAGTAAAGAGATGCCATTATAAAATGAGATAATCCAACACACATAGCTCCATAAAGTGGGAGGTGGTATACCACAGCATAGAAGCAGAAACATTTCACTCCTAGCAGTTGGCTGTTGTCTTCAACGGTTTTCTCAAACTTCATTATTCCCTAAAAAACATTTCCCCTTTACTTTATACCTTACTTCCTTCACCTACTCATCATTTAAACTTATTTCACTTGTGAAAGCAAGTATGTGTATACAAAGATATTCACTATAATAGTCTAGAAACCCAGATGCCCAACAACAGGAAGAATATAAATAAATGATGTATCCACCCCATTATGAAGAAAGTAGGTTTTGTTGTTGTTGTTGTTTATTTTTGTTTTGGTTTTTGGTTTTGGGTTTTCTGAGACAGGGTTTCACTGTGTAGTTGAGGCTGGCCTTGAATTCACTATGTAGTCCAGGCTGGCCTCAAACTCACAGTGATCCTCCTGCCTCAGTCTCCTGAGTGCTGGAATTACAGACATGCACCACCACGCCCAGCAGGAAGCAAGTTTTTAAATGAGGCTGATCTGTATTTACTGATAAGGAAATATGTACATGATAGATTATTACATAGGTAGAAAAGTAAGCTACAAAATTATGTACAGTGGGAGCCCAACTTTGTGCTTGACAAAAAAACTGCTTAGATACATATGGGAAAACAACTGGAAGCATATTTATCAATCAATTAACTTGGAAAATGGAGACTGAAGATTAGAAACTGTAAGTGAAGATTTGACTTTTTTTCTTTTTTTGAGACAGAGACTCACTATTTGGTCCAGGCTGGCTTTGAACTCTCAATCCTTCTGCCTCAACCTCCTAAGCGCTGGCATGATAGGCAAGCACCTCCACACCCGGTAAGGATTTTCACTTTTTACTAATACTGCTAGATTGCTTCACTATTTTTAACAATTACTCATTTTTAAGTAATTTTTAATGTTAATAAAGAGGGGAGAGATGGAAGTTCAAACATTTCCTCCCCAAGATCTAGCTTGCTGTAGAACCCCTCCCCTTACCCATCATGCCACTGACCTGGCCACCGCCACCACTGGCCTCTCCAGCACCTGAGCACAGCTCTGCTGTGTTCACGCACCAGCCTGAGCCCCTTAGCAGAGCAGACACTCAAATATTTGCTACATCAAGGAAGAAACTCATCAAGCTTTTGATTTTCACATACTTTTTCATTCATATTTTTAACCTTTATTTATCTTGACTCAATCTTCCATTTCTTTCAAGCAAATTGGTCAAAATGAACAGCTTCAGATTTAATTTAATCACTGGTTTCCACTAAACATATGGCTTGAACGAAATCTTACTGACATTCTTCAACATTATTTCATTGTGCAATTCTATTTTACTTTTGTGAAGAAACCGTTTTCAAGAAAGGTGTGAGTTTATGTACTAGAGAAAATGTCCACTTTTCACCTGTCATTTAAAAACACACATTCAAAGAATCTGATATCTTATCCTGAAGTTCAACATTACACCTTCTCTCTTAAAAAAAAAAGTTATCGATCATCTAGGCTGTATGTGCAAACTTGTACCAACAGGCTAGCAGCTATTGTCTAAGGCAGCCTGGTTCATTAATAAGTATTTCTTAGTATAAGAAGGAAAGCACAAGGAGAAAGCGTGGTTTCAGTTCATATTCTGCTCCACCATACCCTTATTTAGACCTAAGATATCTGAGACTTTTCACCTGTAAAATGATAGGAAAATCCTCACTTAAAAGAGTTGTAAAAGCCAAGTTTGCCCTGTAACCCCAGCTACATGTGCACAGTGAGCCCAGCCTGAACAGCCTTGTGGGACACTCTCAAAACGCCCATCAAGTGGGAGACTGGCCCTATGATCAACCACACTACTGACAAGAATTCCAGCAACTGCTCTCTCTCCTTTGTCTTACCAGTACTCAGAGATTTGTTTTGAGTCCCTCTTACTTCTATACATTTATGTGACAGGACCATTGTGGAACACATGCTTAATAAGTAAAATGAATAATCAGCATAAGTCTAACTCTCCCAAATATTCACTAAGTATATACTTTTATAAAGGTGCAAGGTATTAAACAAGTCAAATTTATAGGTCCTATCCTCGCTACCTAAAGGTTGTATACACACTAAGGATGAAAGATAGTATCAAGCAGTAAAATAAGCAAAACAAAAAAGCAACTACTGTATATGTTAAAAAGGGGAAGGGAGGGGAAGGGAGGGGAGGGGAGGGGAGGGGAGGGGAATCAGCAAATTGTAGTCCAACAGGAAAGTCTGCTTTTACGTAGCCTGTGAAGCTGGGGATTTAGCTCAGCGGCACAGCACCTGCCTGGCAAGTGCAAGGTCATGAGTTCAATTCCCGGTACCAGAAAAAACAAACAAACAAACATACATAGCCTGCAAGTTAAAGACTTTACATTTTTAAATGATTAGGGGTTGTGGGAAAAAAAATCGAAAGAAACAATATTTCAAGACATGTAAAAATTACATTAAGGTTAAACTCCAGTGTCCTTAAATAAAGTTTTATACACAAGTTTATTCGTTTTCACATTGCCTATGACAGCTTTCACACTGTAATGACAAAGCTGAGTACTTGAAGAAAGACTTTATGGCCCACAAAGCCTAAAATACTTGCTACTTTCTGGCCAATTACAAAAAAAAAAAACTTTCTTACCCGGAGGGATATCAAATACAATAACACAAACGAAAATTTCTTCTCAATTATAGCATATATAAGAAAACAAACTTTAGGACTTAGTTCTAACTATCTCTACCCTAAGAAGCCAAATAAGCCCAGACTTCTGAAACATAGGCACTTTATTTTTTAATAACGTATCTATTTTTTAATCGATTCATGCAGCATAACTTCAGTTATTACTGACCTACTCAGAAAATAACTCAAAATATAAAATCAGAAAAGAATATAGCAGCAAGTGTTAGCAGTGAGCCATTTCTAATCACATAGTGATCACTTTGGGCTGTGACTTAAATGAAGCTCTATGAGAAGCACAAAAATAGAACTCACCCTATAGATAACTGCATATCCTTGTTGTACCAATAAACTGTGAAATTACTATTTTAAAAAAGAATCCATACAAAGAACTAAAGAGTATGTGTATCATGAGCATTACATTTTTTATAAAAGAAAATTATTTGAAAAAGGAAATGTGATAAGGAATCATTTTTCACATCCATTTAAGATCCTTAAAGAACAGCAAAAAATCCTTCACCTCAACTTTAGCCATATCCTTAGAATGAAATTAATAGCTGAAAACTAGGTTACATGATGATGCAATCTAAAATGCAACAACAGGATATTCAAGATCATTAACAAGCACATGAATATCAAATAATTAAAGATGGATTTGAGGCTCTAAGTAATGACTACCTCCTAAAGAATAATCAAATGGGTAAAGTAATATTCAATAAATATCCAAAATATAATGGGCAGGGCTGGGAGCTTAAGCTCAGTGGTACTGCATGAGCTATTATACCCCTAGAATAAGTAAGGCTTTGGCATATCACATAATCTCTAGCATATCACACACACACACACACACACACAAACACACACACAC